CTCTGATGCTTCCTTACCTGCTATCTAGCTATGATCCTACTCACTGCTGCCCATTGGTGCACTCGGCTCCAAAGGCTCCAAATTGATGCTTTACTTCCTGCCCAAGTGAACATTGGCTCTCCGCTCTTGAGCTGTGGTTCCTAAGGGGGTGGCATAGCCTTGATGCCACTGTGAGTTTTGTTGTTGTCACATAGTACCAGTCTTCTCATTGTCATTAGTGTTGGCCCAGGCATTCCCACCATCACCGAGGTGAACCAGACCCTTTGCCACAGCACAGTGACTCTTACATCAAGTCCCAAACTGACGAGAGGGGTGCCTTATTCTCTTAGTCTATTATCACATCTGTAATATTGTAAGTTTTCAATGTTCTCCAGTTTCTCCGGGCTCATTTTCTCCAGGCTGTGCCTCTCCTGTGAGTCATAATACAAGTTTCCTCCAGGGCTGGATTAGGAGGGAACTGGCATCACACTGAATGACTTAACTCCTTAAACAGCCTAACCTCTTTTGGTGCTGACCATTAGCTGATTAGACTGATCTGAGTCTTGGATCTTTCCCATATTAGAGAATGTCCCTTTCCCATCCAGGACAGCCAGGGCAGGGGTGGGAATGTTAGGTATATCTGCTTGCTCATTAAAGAATCTCTGGTCATCAGTTTCAAGATAACTGCAAAGATTCTTCCAGGGAGTCCCATTATAGTGTTTCAAATAAGGAAACTTAGGTGGCTCACTGTGCCAGGACCTCAAATTGTTATATAAAAGGAGTAAGCTTGGCTGTGATGTGGGAGTGGTACCCCGAGTCCATGATGCTGAGTTCTTTTCCCTTCCTTCATCTGTCTTTGCCTTCCTTCTTTTCTCTTTTATTTTCCACCTTGTTCAGAGAAAAGTTCATTTTTCAGTCAAAGTCTCAGTCCAGCATGGTGCTGGGGCAATGACTCAATGCAAAGAGCATGTGTTATCTATCAGGAGATTTAGAATCTGGCCCCTGCTCTACCAGTATAGCAGCTGTGTAAACTTGGGCAAAAAAACTTAACCTCTCTGTGCCTCTGATTCTTCAACTGTAAACTGGGATATAAGACAGACAGACAGAGAGACAGAGAATGAATGAATGAATGTGTATGTAGTGGGGATTGGAGGAAATGATCTTAAAAACACTCTCTTTTTAATGGATATTGGCTTCTAGCAGCTAGTGATAGAAAAGGCCTGGTATACATAGGCTTTGCCACCCACATTCTTTTAAGGCAGAATGGGGGCCCAGACAGACACCACATGCTTGCTTACTGTACCAAGAAAGAAATGAAGCAAACATTAAATTTAAATCAATAGCATTACTTGAACACAGAAGACAAAACTGTTTTCCCCCAAATTGTTTTGATAGCTGTCAGTAGCTGCTATTTGGTATGAAATCCATTCAGATCATCAAAAGCCAGAGCAACATACAGTGCATGAAAAGCTGTTGTAATTGGCACCATTGTAACTCTATACGGTGTGTGATCTTAGCTGGGAGGAGGGAGAGTTGTAGGATAACTTGTAATCTAATTTTCTTTGTTGTAAAACAGAATGTTACCATTGTATTTCTGTGGAACAATAATTATAACATCTCACACAATAGAGTGCCTTTCTCAGGAGGTGCTTAAAGAGCTCAATAGACATTCATTCAAACTTGTAAACATAGTAAAACCTGGCTTGCTTGCATTTCTCTCAACTGAAAATTCCTATTAACCAGCATCTTTTCTCATCCATCCTACTGGGATACATGATTTTTATGCTGGTGAACCTGACACCCTGAGAGACACTGAGGTGCCTTCTGAATCATCAAATAATTATGAAACCTTCAGTAGACCTTCAATGTTAATTGCAATTTATGACAGCCTAATTTTTTGAAAAATAGTAATTCATATGTTGCAGAGATGATAATTAATTAGAATAGTTGGCTAATCGGACTGCTCTATTTCCTGACCATACTGAAGTACAGAGTTTACAATAACTGTAACATGGGATCTCCCTCTAAGAACCACAAAGGAAGCCGGGTAAATGAAAGTAGTGTTCTTTATGACTTGACAGGCATAAATTACCCAGAATTAATCATTCTGGGCAAATGACAATTTCCAAAGGTTGATTCTTCAACTTCTACATTCTCTTGTAAACTAAATGAGAAGAGAAAATAAGTACGTTTTAAACATAGATTTCACTCACCTCTTAAGACTTCCCCATTTCTAGTTATTAAGGCTATTGTTGATAACTATTGGCTCTTAGCAGCAATGGTGAGTGTCTTTAAAATCAAATTTTGGATGATGTTTTATGGAACTTTTTCACAAACACCAGAGATTTCTTCAAGAGGGTGTCAGTGCAGTAGATTTAGTTGTGTTAATTGGTCCATCCTAAATGTTTTATTAAAGTGATAAGATCTTAAATCAATTAAGATTAACGTGATGACTAAAAAAAGTCTAAGTTCTTAATTATGGGATTGTAAAAAATATTTAAATTGGTATTACACTCAAGTTCACTGCAGAGAATCTAGTAAATTAAGGAATATATCAAGAAGAAAATAAAAATAATCCATAATTTCACCACTCACAGAGAAATATTATTGCCTTTTGGTATATTTCCTTCCATTTTGACCCTAATGTATACATATACATGTAAGTATTTTACAAATTTAGAATATGCTACATATACTGTATGCTGCTCCCTACCAACATTACCTACAGGCATTTTCTAGGTCATGAATTATTCTTTTAAAACATACTAGGTTTTGATTATATGTACCTTAGTATATTAAGTCACTCTCCTGTTGTTTTTATGCTTTACAAAGTTTAGCTTTATAATGCTGTAACAAGTATCTCTGTTCATTTGTTTGGCCATCTGTTTGTCCATGTATTTATTTAATCAGTTTTTATTGAGTAACGTGTGCCAGGCTTTGGGCCATGAGCTAAGGATATATCATTAATCATCACCCTAGTAAGAGTTAACATATTACTATTATGTAGTATGGACCCGGTCCTTTATTAGTATTTGTATAATAATTATATGAATATAATCATTCTAATAAATAAGTGTAATAGTATTACCTAGTTAAGTTCTTATGAGGTATTATTATCCTTGTTTTCCAGATGAGGCAATTGAAGCTTAGAACTGAAGTGACTTGCCCAAGATCACTCAGCTGGCAATTGGCAGAGCCAGAATTCAAGCCCAGGCAGCTTGAGTTCAGTCCCAGTCTTTTAACCATGGTGGTTACTGTGTCAGTAGAAAAGACACTCACTTGCCCTTACAGACATGAAACAATTTTAAATGCAAAAATCTTTGGGTAATTCTCTCGTTATTTTCTTAGGATAAATTCTAGAAATGGAAATACTGGGTGAAGGAATATGAACAACGCTTCTAGTAAATAATACTGCAGTCACAGTCCTAAATGGGGAAAGACCACAGATGATAAGATTATTTTTTGGTTGGCTTTCCTTTCTTTTCTTTTTTGTCCTGGGTTTCTGTCCTTGCTCTACCAATGACAGGAAGACATAGACGTGGTAGTGATTCAGGCCTGGGCATGCCCTGGAGAAAGTCTGGGCAATGCTCTTGCTGTTTAGTCAGGGCCAGTGGGTTGCTGCCTTTCAGACATGTTTATTTCCTCTACAAGATGCAAGACATCACAGAGGAGGGGGCACGGGGAGAAAGAAGCCATCAAGGAATGAGTCTAGATTGCAAGTCATGTATAGCCTCTTAAGATGAATGTTGCCACAAGAAAATGCATCTGCTCAGTAAAAATCGGGTTCAGTTAAATATATATATGTATTACATTATATACATATACACACACACACACACACACATATATATAATAGCTGCTCCTTGCAGAGCAGGGCTAACTCCTAGGCAGTGTGCTCAAAGTCAGTCTAAAGACTTAAAAAAATTAATTAGTATTTAGTACAGTCCCCCTTGTGCGTAAACCATAGATTATTCATATACGGCAAGTGACTACCTGTAAATATTCCCCGTGCTCCTCATTATTGCACCCCCCTTCTCAAGTCCCTCCTTCTCAAATGAACATCATCTGTCCTTTGTCTTATCTCCTAGTGCTCAGCACAGACTTGATTGATGGCTGTTCTAGGTTTGATTCCTGGCTCTGCCATTAACCCTCTGTGTGGTCTTAGATTGATTCTCAGTTTCTCCCCTTTAAAATAATAGAGCTGTAGTGTCAATCAAATGAAATGCCACGTGTAGACAAATAAAATAGCTAATCTTTATTGAGTTCTTATTATCTGTATCACAAAATAAAACACTGTTCTAAATGTTTTAAATACACACTTTTACTTATTCCTCAAAATAATCATGTGGTAAGCAGAAGTCTACGTAGCTCTTATGATCTTCACCCTGGAATTACTTCTGTGATTATATAGTACATGGCAAAAACAACTTTGAAGATGTAACTAAGGTGACTAATCAGCTGACCTTAGAATTAAAATATTATCCAGGTGGGCCCAATATAATCACGAGGCCTTTAAATGGTAGATGTTTTCTCTGACTGTTGGCAAAAGAGGAAGTCAGAGAGATTTGAAGCATGAGAAGCACTCAATGCGGTTTCTCCTTGAAGATGAAGGAGGCCACATAAGGAGTCCAGGAAGCCTCTAGAAGCAGAGAGTGGCTTCTGGCTGACAGTCAGCAAGAAAACAAGGACCTCAGACTTACAGCTGCAAGGAGCTAGATTCTCCCAACAACCTGAAAGAGTTTGGAAGTGGCTTCTTCCAAGAAACCCTAGGAGAGAGGCCACCCTGGTTGGTTTTACCCTTGGTTTTAGCCTTGTGAGACTCTAGGCACAGAACCCACATGAACCCACCAGACTTCTAATCTACAGATCTATGAGATAATAAATGGGCATTGTTCTAAGCTGCTAAATTGTGGTAATTTGTTATGATAGCAATAGAAAACTAATATATACCATATGTGGTAGGTACCTTTATTATTAAACCCATTTTGCAGATGAGAAAACTGAAGTACAGAGATGCAAAGTCACTTTTCTAAGTTTCACATTTATTATGTCTTAGGCAATTTTGTGCTGCTATAACAGAATACCACAGACTGAGTAATTCATAAAAACAGACATTCATTTCTTACATTTCTAGAGGCTGGGAAGTCCAAGATCAAGGCTGGCATCTAATGAGGGCTGCTGTCTTCTTCCATGATGGTGCCTTGAATGCTATATCCTCTGGAGGGGAAAAATGCTGCTGCGTCCTTACATGGCAGAAGACAGGACAACAGGGGTGAACTCCCTTCATCAAGCCATTTTATAAGGGCACCCAATCTCATTCATGAGGGCGGAACCCCCATAAATCAATCACTTCCCAAAGGCCACACCTCCAATACTGTTGCATTGGGGATTACATTTCAACATGAAATTTGGACGGGATGAAAATGTTCAATTCATAGCAGTATCAGAAACGGGATTTAAATGGAGGTAGTCTGTCCCCAGAGCCCATGTTCACCCCAGTGACGCGGTGACTGAGACATTCATAGTACTGATTACATATTAGCTCTCTTCCCTTTTTAGTATAGCCCAGGGGTACCTCACTGCCACATTTCTTGATTTTGCTGCTGGGGGTTAGCTGGTGGTGTGGTAGGGTTCTGGAAAACACAGAATAAAAATAACATTAGTTTTAGTCATGGGAGCAGGTCTTTTTGTTTTATAACAAACCTGAATATTTTGTAGGTTAGAATGCAGAAGATAAAACCAGATAGCAGAAAAAGTTTGAGAAGCACTGAGATGATGTATTCAAATTAATTTAGTTTAACATCTTTCCTTCCTCTTTTATCCCTTAAATTCACAGTGAATTTGTTGCACCAGCTAGAATTCTGGAATGGCAATTAAGGAAATTGGGACTCAGCTCTTCATCACCATCCATCTTCTATTCATCCCATCCAACGAGCATTTATAGGGTGTCTACTCCCTGTCTTGGGTGTCACTGATACAGGATGACTTGAAGTAATGAAAACTTTTCCAATTCTGTTTCCTTGCATATCAAATCAGGTGATTTGACACAACTTTCTCTAGGGTCATGCCTGTCACCAAATCTAGTGTTTTCCCAGTCCTTGAAAGTTTATGTCCGCAGTTTTTACATAGTAGGGCCATGTTTCTCAAAGTAGAGCCTGGATACCATCTACATCGGAATCTCCTGAGATGGTCCAGGATCAGAATCAGAATCGCTGATTCGGAAACATGGGTTGGGGGCCCAAGACCTCTCACTTTAAACAAGCTCTATAGGTCGTATCATTCTTATGAACGTTAAAGCTTGAGATATACAGCTATGGGGGTGCAGAATAAATACACAGTATAGGCCTGGTTCTAAAAGTCTTTTTTAATGAAAAGACATTAGCTGGGTGTGGTGGCAGGCGCCTGTAATCCCACCTACTCAGGAGGCTGAGGCAGGAGAATCGCTTGAATCCGGGAGGCGGAGGTTGCAGTCAGCCGAGATCGCGCCGCTGCACTCCAGCTCGGGCAACAGTACGAGACTCCATCTCAAAAAAAAAGAAGAAAAACAGGGCCATCAGGGCCATACCTGTTCCAGTCTCCATGCCGGTCCTTGGCTCTCCCGGCCGGAGCCAAGGACAGGGAGGGAGCTGTGATCATGGAGCGTATCCGGCCCAGGCCCTAGTGCCTACAGTCACCTTTCCCCTTTTGGGGCTTACCTGGGTCTGCCCCATTCACTGGCTTGGGATAATGTGAGAAGAGGAGGGTGAGTTCCTCCTCCGAGGCTTAGGGAGCCTTTCCCCTTTCCCAAAGGAAGGGTGGGGCGGCGCCGGCCGGTGCAGGAGCCCCTGCGGGCCGCTGGCGTCTGGCAGCAGCGACTCTCCCGGGTCAGTCGGCAGAGCGAGGCGGCTGCCTTTCCACCTCCGTGAGTACTGCCGAGGGGAAAACTGGGGAAGTGGGTCAGCCCGGCGGCTCCCATCCACAGACCCTCCCCGCCCCAGCCGCCCGCTCTCCCGCGGAGCTTAAGGAGTCTGCTCCCGCCCGGCGGTGTTGCCCGAGTGGCCCTGCCCAGGGGCGGGGCGGGCCGGTCCCTGCGCCAAGGCGCTGCGCCCGCCGGCTGCCCTTGCCCACACGCGGCACCCATCCTGCGGCGCGGTTGGCCCTCCCGCCACCCCCTCGGCGGGGCCCTTCCCTTTACTATGGTAATAGTGACATTCAGCGGGAAAGGCTAGCACGGCGACGGCGCCCCGGCTCCCGCAGAACGGACGCTCGGGCCGCGGAGGGGGCTGTGCGCCCTCGTACCGCTGGACGCCGGGGGCGGGCGGCCGCCGCGCTCTCCCCGCCCGGCCCGGCCCCTCCGCCGCCGCCGCGGGGCAGCCCCCCGAGCCACGGCCCCGGCTGGCGGGCGAGCTGCGGGCAGGATCCCAGCGCTCGGGCTCTGGCGCGGGGAAAGGACAGAAACGGCGCATCGGGAGGGACCCTGCCTCACCGCTTGTATATGGCAAAGTTTCTCACCGAGCTCCTGGGCTGCACGTTGCCACGCAAGGGCGCCTCTCCCATGTTTGAGGTAGGTGGAGGGTGTGTCCCCTCAGAGACCCCTGGCCGGCCTGGGGGTCTCCGCAAGTTGACACGTGTGCAGACTCACCTACCTGGCCATCGGGCGGGGCGGGGCGGGGCGGGGCGGGGCAGGGGAGGAGGGCGAGGAGGAGAGCTGGAGCTCTGGAGCCGGGTTTCTCGCGCCTGGACCTCAGTGAATCTTTTTTGTTTTTTTTTTTCCCCCACCCCAGTTGACAGGTGAACAAGTTTTCTGTCAATCTGGCTGAGTTCTACCAGTTGCTCTTTACCTAAAATGCCAGGGATGTCTAAAAATGAGCATTATCCTGCAGTCCTCTTTGCTGCCTACTTTGTTTTTTTCTTTTAGTCTGAAAAACAGAAAAATCTTCCAGTCAAAAGGTTTCCACCTTCTTACCTCCTCCAACTGCTCCCCTCCCCCAATCTCCAGCACAGGGCAAACTCCACTAAAGTTAACTTGTGTCTTCTTCTGTGAGTGAGTGAGATACACTGGGGATGAGGAGGGTTAAGAAGAGATTTGCCAAATCAGGTGAACAAACGGCAACTCCTAAGGCGGGTTCATCTAATTGCTCACACCTGCCTGCGGTGGCAATGCCGCTGCTGTGAGGCATCTCCGCACGGAGTCATTTAGGAGGCGGCTGGCTGGCTGGCTGGCTGGCTGGCTTTCCTATATTGATCACTCAGTAGGGAGAGTTTCATACTGTACAACCTTTCCCCGCCCTCCTTATCTCTACAGTGAGAACAGAAAGTGTCCTTTGTCTCTCTACCCTGCCCTCGCTCTAGAGACTGCCTGACACGCCGTCCTGGCCGAGAGTGCCCAGGGGTTGGCCAGGTTAACCAGTGCTGCAGTCTGCGTTGCACTGCGCTCCTCTCTCAGTCACAGTTACCGTAGCCTGATGACTTTCCAGGCCAGCCACTCCAGGAGCTGCCCTAGGCTTCCCTGTCTGCAGTTTCTTGACTGGCCAGAGAAACACAACTTGGTCTCTTCTCTGGTGAACGCAGGAGTTTGTCCTTCAGCAAGGCACCTCTTCTGGTTCCAGACTCTTCATATGTTCTTTGGCTGCTAGTGAGTCTCTTCTCACCTTTGGCACCTGTAACTGTTCTTACCTTCTGAGATTTTATGGTCACATACCTTAGATTTTGAAGCTCAAATGACCCAACCCATAACCTCTGCTGTGTGACAAAATGGCCTTTAAGCAGGAGATCCCAATAGTAGGTGATAAGGAGGAACTGGGGAAACAAGAGTGGGGTGGGAGAAGTCAGGCTGAAAGGCCTGGGCAGTTGATAGCCTGAAACCTACGAAATAATGAAGAGCCTGGAAAAGTTCAGTTTTCCAGACCTGCAGTGAAAATGAGCTGTCACCTTTGGCGTGCAACATCACTGCCCATTTGCTGCTCTGTGAAGTTGTATGTAGCATTTGGGGATCACTCTGGAGACCTGAGATGCTCCCTTAAGTTGCTTTTCTCTTTGGCTTTCTCTTCACTTGTGTTTAAATTACCAAATGTGCCAAGCGATTTTGGTTGTGTATACTGCCTTTTTGTTATGTATTTGGTTGTATATTCCTGCCCCTTTTATCCTCCAGCCAATAGATGCCCCACCTTGATTTTTCAGAAGGATTGGCTCCCAGTCATTCCAGAGAGGAGGCAGCCTATAAAAACTAGCCAGAGACATATTTAGACAATTAAAAAAAGAGTGGCTTTTGTGTTTGAAGAGTTCCCAGGAAAGGGAATTCCCCCAGTCCTTGGTCATGCCTCATGTCTTGCTCTGTGTTATTTTCCACCCATCTAGAGGTAGGAGCTGCTTGTAGCATCTGCCCACTCTGTCTTTCTACAAAGGATTGATTCAGTGTTGGCTGACTCGACCTAACACGTCCCACCTAGGTATCATTCTTAATCAGTGTTGCTGGACAAACTAAGTAACCTTCCCTTTCCTACCTTTGGGGAAAAGCAGTGCCCACAGATGAACTGATTTAGGAATGTGCTTTGAGGATGCTTGCTTCTCAGGCAATGGCCCCCTCAACACATTCTTGCTCATAAATGACGAAGCAGTCGTTTGGGAAGGAGGGAGAGAGAAATGTGTAAGAAAGATATTCTTAAACCTTTCTAAATATTCGTTTCCAAAAGTGAAAGTGCTAGGACACTTGAGAAAAATTTAGGCAGCTTTTTATTTTCACCAAATGCTTCAATTCTAACTGTGGTTACCTTTAATTTCGGAGAGATCAGGAGAAGAGATGGATGTTTTTCTAATGAATGGCCTTTGGTTTCATTTTGGTTAGAATGTGGACAATAATGTAGTTTCTTCCCACTCGGGCCACTTTGGTTTGCACAGAGGATATTCTCCCTGAGAACTGAATCTGGGACCTCTTGTGTGTTTGCAGTTGTCTGACAAGAGGGAGTGAGTGACAGGTTATAGAGAAAACAGGGCCAAAAAAGTCACTGTAGTTGAAAAACAGCTCCAGTGTGTGCCCTGCTGCACCATCTTCATAGGCTAGGGACAGAGCCTGCACACTGGAAACACAAATTGTCTTAATGATCATTTTGTTACCCTCTTGCCTTGTTTCTTCTTAGTAAAGTATTTAAGTTTGCACACCAAGTTATTGAGGACAATTAAATTTCTAGAAAAAAGCAAAGGATCTTAAGTTTACCCCAGGGCCATGGCAGTGTCCTGAGCAGTGGGCTGGATATTTGGAAGAATGATTGTGGCACACCAAGGCAGAGCACCTACAAAAAGAGTAGGCCACAATCATTCTTCCACAATCATTCTGATGTCTAGAAACGTAGGACAGAAGCATGCAGGCAGGTGGTTTCAGATCTAGCAGTTCCCTGTGTGCTTGAATGCATGGATAGATGTCTGGCCCTGGCATCCACTCCTCCCTCATGGAGCTCTGAAATATTATGAACCTGCCCCCTCCCTCCAGCCCCAGTCTTTCTTTTCATGGTGCCTTATTAGCTTTTGGCATGGCAGTCAGTGATGGGGTTTGAGTTTCGGGACAGGAAGTGGTGGGAAAATAATATAGTCAGTCAGAGGCTGTTGCTTTTTCATCTTTTATGCCTCTCTTCCCCCAGTCCACAAATCTGCATTTTTAAATCCCTGTCATTCTTCATCATCTTACCTGGTGGTACACCTTTAAGAAGACAGATTCATTGGGCTGAACACGTAGAAAAGGGATGTTCAATTCTGTGCCACCATTCATGGATGTGGTCTCCAGAACTGACAACCTCATGTATACTGTATGTGTTTTTGTGTGGTTTTCTATCTCCACTTGTACTGCTGCCTAACTGTGACAATACATAATAATTATCAGTTATTGCCTACTTTGGGCCAGGCATTATTCTGAAGGCATACTATACATGATCGCAGTTATCCTTCACATAGTCTTATGATATAGGTGTTAACAACCATGTGTTACAGATGAGAAGATTAGGGTTTAGAGAGCTTAAGTAGTTTGCTTAAGATCATTCTAGTAATGTATGCTAGAGAGAGGATGCAAACACAAGTCTGTTTTATCTCAAAGTTCACTTACCTTCTCCAACTATAGTTACTTGGTATTCTGGAGCTTGTTTTGTTTTGCTTTTTGTTTCACCTTTTTTTTCCTACCTTTTGTTTTTTAGCTGCATTCTTAGATATATTCTTTTTGGAAGAAGGAAAGACAATCGCCCATTCTCTCACTGCCCTCACTATGTTACCATGGGGATGTGTATTAGTCAGTTTTCACACTGCTATAAAGAAATTAATTATCCAAGACCAGGTAATTACTTTTAAAAAGGGTCTAATTGACTCACAGTTCTGCATGGCTTGGGAGGCCTCAGGAAACTTACAATCATGGCAGAAGGTGAAGGGGAAGCAGGCACCTGCTTCAAAAGGCGACAGGAAAGAGAGAGACGGGGGAAGAACCCCTTATAAAACCATCAGATCTTGTGAGAACTCACTATCATGAGAACAGCATGGGGGAAACCACCCCCATGATCCAGTTACCTCCCACCAGGAACCTCCCTCGACATGTGGAGCTTACCATTCGAGATGAGATTTGAGTGGGGACACAGAGCCAAATATATCGGGATAGCACAAATGTCTTCTTCCCAGAGATATTTAATCAAAGGCCGATTGAACTTGAATTGTTAAGGGCAGATTCAAGTTCAGTTGCCATGACCATTTACAGATAGCTTCTATTTATTGAGCATTTCTGTGTATTGGCTTGTTTTATCACCCCAATAATGCTGTGAGGTAAGTGGTATTGTCATCCCTGTTTTGGAAATGAAGAAACCAAGGCTCAGAGCGATTACATGAATTGTCCAAGGTCACTCACCTACTAAGTGTCTGAACTGTAAGGTAAATCCTGGATTCTGGTGCCACAGTGCTTTGCCTGCTGTCTGTATTGACTTACCTAGTTTTGTAGCCTCTGATTTTTTGTCTCATCCCCTCTATCTTTTGTACTATTACCAAAATCATCTTTCTAAAAGCCGAACTCAACATGGAGTCTATTTACTTTCCACAAATACTTAAATCTTTTTTTTTCTTAAATTCTGGCATGGTGGCTCATGCCTGCAATTCTAGTATTTTGGGAGGACAAGGTAGGAAGAGTGCTTCAGGCCAGAAGTTTGAGGCCAGCCTGTGCAACATAGTGAGACCTTATCTCTAAAAAAAAAAAAAAAATTAGGCA